AGTATTACTGCCAACATGCTACTGCCCTCTGCTCCTCATTTCTTCTGAGTTGGAGCTCTTAACCTTTCAATGATTTCTTTATTCATTGTAACACTAAATTTTGTATACATCTTTACCTTCTTGCCCTCAGTCTCCAAAACCCAAGTTAAAAATAACATTAAAAGAGAAAAAGACAGACATTACCATCTGAAATACATCTGAGCCTTCATCAAAATCCACCATAGCAAAAAAGATTTTATTGGTAAACGCGCTGGAATATCGCCAGGAGTTTGCCAGAATCTGGTATTCCTCATCAGCTTGCCTGTAAAACACACAAAGTGAAATGCTGTATCATACAAGTTACAAAACAGCTGAGGGAGCTGTAGCCACATACCCCATTAATGGCTGCATCCCGCATACCCGTATTTTTATTTTTTTTAATGTTAAATTTAAGGCCAGACGCTCATCTAACAATCAAGTGCAGTGTTCAGCATCACTGTTTTTTTTTTAAAGGCAAGGACAAGTTTTGATGAGTACCTGAACACAAGCAGTGGCAATTTCTAACTGAAACATGACGTGGAACCCAGCAGCTCACAATTCGCTGGTCCACAGAGCACCAAAACAAGTGTGCCCTCTTTGCCATGTCAGAGGATGGGAAACCAATTAATTTCAACTAACTAGGTATAAAAATCATCTTTACAAACCTTTGCCACCTCCAGACTAATACATGAAAGCCATGAAATGGTTAAGGATCCAGCATATTATAATGGTAAATAAACATGTGCCAATCAACATATTAATTAACAGCACCTTTTAGACTGCATGGCCAGCAGTAATTCTACAAACATTTCTTCAGTAACTCATGCCAGGAAAGTTGAGGTTTCATACCATCTTTCTCCCAAAGCCTACCAGTGTGAATATTGTTTTTACAAATTAGTGATTATTTTAGGAAGGAGATAAATAATTAAGGACTATGTTGTTTTCTCACATATATATTACATATATATTCCCATGCATTTAGTTTCAAAGATAATCCTACTATATGCCCTAGTATATTCCTCCTACATATGTGAAAGTTTTATCCTATTCTTAAATTCTATTTCCTACAAAACATATGATGACTTTAAAATTCTAATTTAGGACTAAATTAAGCCCATACTTGCACACAACACACTGTCTGTGAGGCTGAAGAGCAGTGAACATCACAATCACCGAGTAATTTCTGGGTGGTGCCTTCACAAGGCGTCGAAATTTGTCTCCATTCATTCGAATAACGGATCTTTTACTAGCCCATTCCATCAGCTGGTTCACTTTTTCTGATAGCACCATCTAAAAATAAAGTCAGAGAAACACTGTTGGGTTTTTTTTTCCTAGTCTCACAGTACAATCTTGAAGGTTTTGAGATTTGACGCAACAAATAGCTGCACTGTACTTCGTTAAGAACACCGACCACCTGATGTGATTCATTAAGATTCTTGAAGGCATTCATAGATCCTTTTGACAGTCATGTTAATATTATTCATTTACTTTAACGCTTTAAGCACTTTGCCCATAAGCACTTAGTATTATACCTGCTGCTGAAGAGTGACAGCTCAGTAGTACTTTCTCATATTGCTAATTGTAAGATTTCTTTCAGATGTACAAACTGCCCCAAATCACTCCGCAGTATTTACTCGATACTAAGCGTCACACTCTATTTCAGTTTTCAAGACTTGGTGGAAGTGGAATCAACACTGGAGATGGAAGCACTATGGAAGTGAGCTCAACATCTAATTTTCAGCATTGCTGGAAACAAAAATTGATTCAGTGCGTATTTGAACTCCGGAGTGCTCAACACCAAGCTCTTCTTTAAAAATGAGCCAATCAATTCTACAACACTATACAGAGAAGTATTAGATTAAGTGACAAAACACCAAATGTTACATTTGTCATAAACTACTTCTCTAGTCCTTATTAATGCCCTTCTTCAGATAAATAGGACAAATAACGAACTACTCTTCTCTGACCTGCACACAGAGGGATCTTTTCGCACCCCAGGAGTGACGCATGTGGAAAGCGGTGACACTTTGCGATGACAACCGCAGTCAGTCAGTACACCCCCCCTTTCCCCCCCAAATCCCGCACAGTAGGACGACAACACTCTGACAGTGCTACTTACAAGTACAGGAGAACCTGGAATTAAACACACTCGAAAATAAAATAAATTAAAAAAAAAAAAAAAAAAGTAG